ATATATATATATAATTTTAGAAAAAACCAGGAGTCAGGCCGATTCCCCAATAATCATTCCATTCCCTGAGGGAACAAGCTATTTTTGTCACGGAACCACACAATTCGAATTTTCCCGATTCCCACAATTTATATGCTTTAAATTATTTCTCTATTTTTAAAAAAGATGTTGGGATTACTTGAATTTTTAAATTGAAATTCAAATCTTGAATTTCATTTTTTTTTTTTTCTTTGGTTGATGATCTAACTACTTTTGCTTCCAAAGTTTTCACTCTCAACCTCCAAAATATTTACAAGATTTCCATTGTTACATCATTGTGCATTCTCAACCTGCTTTCTCTTCAATTGGTTCAAGGCGTTCATTATCCATTAAGTGTTGTCATCTCCTAGACTAACTTCTGCCTCTTGTAGAACTTTTGCTCCATTTGTTGCACAACTGAACTAACTTCTTTTAAACAAGTATCCACTTATCCTAATTGGATAGAAGCAATGAGTACAAAAATCACTGCATTAGAAGCAAATAATACATGGTCATTGATTGAACAACACCCCCCGTAGACAAAAGACGTTGCAAATAGATCATGTCTTGATCTATGTAGATGATATCATGATCACTGGCAACAACATAAATGCATTAATACTCTCAAGACCTTTCTCAGTAGGTGATTTCATATCAAAGATTTAAGTCATTTGACATACTTTTTTGGCATTGCGGTTCTCCAAACAGTTTCACAATCATATGCATTAACGGAATATCATTCTATGGCAGTTGCATCTTGTAAACTTACTAAGCTAAAATACCTCGTTAGATCTTAGCATTCCTCATAATGGCCTAATGATGCTTTAGTGTGACAATAAATCAAAACCCTACATATTGCTGCCAATCCAATCTTCCCTAAACGAAACAAAACATATTAAACTTCATTGCCATCTAGTTTAAGAGAATTTAATAAAATCTATTTTGTACTGCTCATGTTCCAACTAGTTCAACGAGCCGATATATTCACAAAAGCCATTGGGAAAGACAAATTTCAATTTCTCACGAATTTTGGACGTCCTCAATGTTTATGCCAACTTGAGGGAGAGTGTAGGGATTGCCACAAGTTTTAAATTGAAATTTAAATCTTGAATTTCGAATTTTTTATATTGGTGTACACTTTCTAATTTAATTGGATAAACATGTACACTTTCTAATCTAATCTAGTGGCATAAGGATGTACATTTTCCTTTTTGCTAGATGGATCCCTATCATCAATGGATTGCCATCTCATGGGTAATACTATTTATGGATAAATAGTTCCAGCAAAAGCATCCAAATCTTCACAAAAAATTTATTAACTATCTCACCCAAGAGAGTCATCGGATTGCATTATACAAACCGGTGTCCAGAATGGCCAATTTCCCCTGCCAAACTGTGTTTTACATATTGGTGATGAAAACAGACTTTCAGACCATTACAAAGATTTATGACCCAGAAACCGCATTTACTCACAGAATTTGGGGTGCGCCTATGATTGTTCGAGGTTATACAGTTTTACACCAAATTGTAAACCGTAACCCTCAATGAATAACAAAGGGTCTACCCTTTTATTCATAAATAAACAATGGCAACACAAATCTTTGCACTCTCTTTCGCAAACAAGGCTCTCCCAATCAGCGCATGCATCTTTTGAGGGCAACACAGTAATGGATTTATATTATTGCAGAAATAAAATGCAAAGACAAGACCGGAATCTTGTGAAAGTAAATGACGTATATACAGATGATGATGGAAACAGGCATGACAGAAGAGGCCAGCCATGACTGCAAAATAGAGCGGGAAGTATGAGCCCGAGATCACCCTTTGACAACCAGTTAGATGTAAATGGCCTGCTCCTGGGATCACTTTAATAGCAGCAGGCATTGGAGAAACAAGGACGTATAGAGGTCAGTGACCACATGGTATACATCATGTTGTATTTGTGTATCACGAGAGGTCAAATGAACCTTGCCCTTCACTGACAGCATAGAGCAGTTTCTTGAGCATGATTTCCTGCAATAGGAAGCCAAGCAACTATAAGCAAACAACCACCAAGGATAAATATTTGAACTGCAATGTATTCAAGACATCACAAGGAAAACCTTGGTAGAATAGGGAGGAAGCTTGAGGTAATTAGCACAAGTCATGACACTGGGCAAGTCCTCATCAGCTGATTCTGTAACACCCGTTCCATTGGATGAAATGTTTGTGGAGGAAGATGAATGCTGCACCAGAGTTAATATTGTCATCCAAAAGGACAAAGAACTCGAGGCACACACCAACACGCACATTGTTCCAAGAAGTGGGAAGTTGGATTTGTTTATCAATCAATGGAATAAAGAACAAGAAAGGGATATTTTTGCCTTCTCCCGGAACATACCTTTCTCACAATGGTGAGCTTGGGGTTAAGGACTGCCAGACCTCCAGGAGGAAGCCTAGGAGCACCAGTGACAAACTGACAGAATGCACGCTGCTGCTCTGGTGTAAACTCACCCATAATTTCCAGCAACTAACAACACCATAAACCAAGTAATTTGAGTCCCGTAGCCAATAAAATAAAAATTCAAACAAAGAAAACTTCCCTTCATAACAAACGAGCCGAAACTAATAACAAAATATTGATAAAATACATACATTTGTAATTGCAGGGCTCTTTGCTGTGTACCCATGATCAAATTTTATATGATCAGCAAGTGTCTCTGGCTGCATGAAGTCCACCAAATCTAAACTCACTACCATTCTGCAAACTCCATAAGGGCCATGAAAAAAATGAAGTAAACCGAAACATAAGACATTACCTCCCAAAGCTCCCGGCGACCACATAGCAGGTAGTCCAGCTCAGTTGGTGTAAAGATTTGAAGGGATGTAATGTCAAAGACCTAAACAAAACAAATGGGTAAGATATTTTGCTATCACACTAATTCAAACCTTGAACTTAAGACGAAAACGCAAACCACAAATAGAAGAATTTTGCAAAGCAATTAATGAACCAAATCTCTCAAGAATCCGCATAACGCCACCACATACAACTAGCTAAACACAGTTACATAGAGAAGTAAAATAATATTAAAATGTAGCCTAAATATATGCCAAGTTATTTGATAATTGCCACATGGACGAAGGGAAAACACATCATACACCTTGCATTCATAATATATGGTCGAGACTTGCCATCCATCATTAGCAAGCAGAACATCTATTCATTCTCCACCATCCATTGGTGAGGAAAATGGTGGATCACCAGTCTGCAGACCATACGATATATACATGCAACGTGAATAGTACACGGACCCATGGAAGAAACCAAACAAAATAAAAAACAACGCATCTCACAGGCTAGAAGCCAAAGGCATAAAGTTACCTGATTGAACCCTGCTCTGAAGGCCTCCATTTGTCGCATTATTCCTGTTCTGACAGTTGCATCAACTACCAAAGTGATATATTCGTCCAGATTATGGATATCGACCTGAAACAATGACCAGAAAGAGCTTATCATAAGACTTCATGTCAATATGCCGAAATAAAGCACGTAAAATATCATGTTATTAGATGTATACCATTGTGCTTTCTGCCCCTTCTTTGAGAATATAATCTGAATACCCAGGAAGTGTAAAATCAAGACAAAGATCTTCAATGGGAGCACCTCGGAAACGTAAATCAGATATAAGCTCCCGATGATCCCCAGGCATAGATTCTAAATACTCCTTCTTGTGAACAAGGACTTGCATTTCTTGCAAAATCTTTCCAAAATCAGCATCAAATGATAAAATATCATGCAAATCAAGCTCCTGCAAGTACACGAACAAGAATCAGGCCTTGAAACATAACCGGAACAAGGCAATTAGGCAAAACACTTTAAAATAATCAATCAAGCAAATGAAAGAGCTTACATAACCCAACACAAGCTTAAAAAATGCGGGAGATAGTGGGAGGTCTAACAGGCGCCCATCTTGTAGAGCCTTTGCCATCACTCGCCCAACCAGGCGGAAGTACTCAACAACCTTAGAGAATTTGCTACCCTCAGATGTGTCAGCATTAGGAGGCCATGGACGAGGAAACAGACCAAGAGGTGCTTGTACAAGCTCTCCACCAACAGGATCTAAAACAAGCTTTTTTGTGGCAGTCACATCATCCATATTTTCAACTGTTTGATCCTGCCCATCAATTTCCATGACACTTTTCTCTGGTGAAGAACTTGACCTCCACATCTCCAAGCAAATCTTTTGCAGGTCATGACTAAGGAGAGTATAGAACTCTAATGTTGGACCCAAGCCAGTGCCAACCTCACCAAAATATTCAACTTCCAGGACAGCCTTCTGGCTAGAGTACATTTCCATGACTTTGGCTGCTGAATCAAGGATGCGATTTCTAGATACACGAACCTTCTGTCGCTGTAACCGGCCAACACGAACCTCTCTTTCGCTTGTTGAACTCAAGTTTTCAGCACTCTGTTGCTGTTGAAGACGGTGAAGCGCACGAGATAATCCAAAAGCCGTTGAATAGAAGTATTGCCTCCTAGTCTCAAAGGGAAACAAGAAGGGACATGCTTTAGTCAATTGGTAACACCAAGAAGGAAGGCCACCACTACACAGAGCAAGAGCATCCTGGATTTGTCGAGCGAGTTTTGGGGTCAGCTTGCTGTTAATAAATTCTTCTGGTGGAACTCTGACGCTCACCATGTTTAGCTCATCCAAGGTAGATAATTTCCCCTTTGAAAAAGCATCAGAGACTGCTTGGACTCTCAAGCGAGGAGCCAACTGATTCAAACCCTCCAAAACACGCAGCAACAAAAGAATGCTGTAAGTGGGACCCAATTTCTCCATATCACATGGAAGCTCCCCTTGCAAAATGCTATCCAGAAGTGATATTTGTTGCCAAGAAGTGTTAGAGCCAGAAATGGAAGCAGCACTAGCTTTAGAAGACCTTGACAGAGAAGTAGAAGCCGAAGTCCTAGCAGAAGTCCTCTCAGCTTGGGCATCGGCCCTCTGGTATGTGATGGTATACACATCATTCCATAATCTGTGTCCATCAGTAGACAAAAACTCAGAGCCAGTACACCTTTCATCATCATCCTCATCTAGCACAAGTTGGCGTTGAATAGCTTGATAGATTGTTAGATGCCGGCTAAGTTGCTTTCCACCACTTGAAAAAATTAATTTTGGAGGGTCACTTGGACTACTTGTTGTTGGTAATGCACGACGATCTCTGCTACCCCTAATGCCTTTACCGCTTGCAGATGCAAGCCCAGCCATTGCAGCAGCAGCAAAGGACATCCCCCCTCTTGAAACAAATGAGCTCCCACTCCTGAACTCAGCAGACTCCACACCCTTAACTGGAGCTCTATTATTTGAAGCAGACGACGGATTTGAATGGCTTTCGCTTGTTGCAGAAGCAACTGTTCCATCATCAGGTGAATCCCCAAGTTTCACATCATGCACCTTTTCTGGTAGGCAAACAGGAAGTGTGTCATCTCTGAGCACCTGCAAAACATGACAAGTTTATGAACAGCATAGCAACAGTCCTCAAATTTTAGACCACATCCTAAATCCATTGCCAGCAGCATAGTTTTCCACAATAATATCTCTTTCATCGAATACTCCCATCAAAAGTTATCACATAAATACAACAATTTGATTTAGAATATGGAGGAAATCTCATGCGCTTTGACCAAGTTAAACCCAAAAACAACTCACAGTTGTGGGAGAATCTCATTCTCAGGAATTCCTTAGGTGATATTCCAATTTTTTCCTTTATTCTCAGGAAAATATCAAGGAATATCGATGAGGTACAAACTACAGGAATATGAAAAACCCAAACAAAAACATGCAAAAACTGTATTCGTATATAAAAATTTAAAATTCCTGGAACTTGCTTCTTTAGTAGCAGAGGGAAATTTTATAAATAGGTGCAATACCACAAAGTATCATTAAACGAAGCATTTGTTTCATAAAGGAGAGATAAGCCAGCAACTGAAATTTTGGGCTCTGTAGCGTGGGGGAAGGAATTTTAGATTATTTTTATACCAAAAAATGGATACTGTCACTAAGATTTTCATTTGCTTTTAACTTGCTCAAATTGAAGTAATTTCTTATAACCAAAACAAAGACAGCATTCAAAGAATAAACAGTCACTCTGCATACCTCTTCATGATCATCATCTTCATCATCAGAAACATCCTCCTCGATCACTAAAGCATCATCAATCTCAACAGGAGAAACATCCAAGTCATCATCCTGAAAAAAGTACAAGCAACATGAAGTACGACGCATTTATGCAACTTAGTTTCACAAATATGCCATGAGCAACATGTAGCATATGAGATATATCTTATTTCATGAGCATCTACATGCTGTAGCATATAAGACATATATGATGATATAACATGATGATACCTCTGAGCTAGAATCATTATTTGCCAGTTTCATCTGTGAGTCTCTATCAGAAGCTGCTCTCCTCCGTGTTGCATTTCTGGTTTGTGGTCCTCTTGTTTCAACATCCGGGACAGATTTCAAAACAGCTTTACCCTTTCCTTTGGAAGACGAGCTTGCATTCCCATCAGGGTTATCCTTTTTAGCAACAGTTCCTGCTGTTGCAGATGACCTAGACCTGCTTGAATTGTGTCGACCAGGGGCAGCAGGAGCTGACACTGACAAGGAGGAAGCACCAGTAACATTGGGGGTCAAACCAGCTTCAGAGTTCCCTAAAGACACAGTAGGCTTCTGCGCTGACTCACTTCTTTGAACTCTAGGCCACAAGAATTCTTCAACAGCTGATAAACTGGCCAGAGGGTCAATGAGCACAACATTTGATGAATAATCCCGAAGAGATTTATCACCTTGTGATCTACACAGACGCAACTTAAAGGGCTGAGACAATGCACTTAACCCTGAAGAGAGGCGCATACTTCCTCCAGAAGACCTCGATGCATGACATAGTATGACTGGAAACCTCTCCAAGGAAGACAAAGCATTTTGCAGTTTCTGAACTAAGATTGACATAGGAGATTGATTATCACCAGCCACACCAGCAGGAAGGGCAATTGCAATAAACAGCTTAAATCTCACAAGCGCCTGTGAACGAAGCTTGAGCAAATTGGCTTCTGAGGTATTTGTATTCTCCTTGGAAAAGGTTCCACAGGATAGATAATTCAGTAATGCTGCAACAACTCCACATCCAATGAACTCAAATGTGGACACCCCATCCTCTTTGCATAATTCAGCAAAAATCTCAGATACAGTAGCTATCAACTGAACTTCAGCATTAGCAGTTATTTCAGCCAAGGCAGGCCCAGGATGCCTTAGACTTCCCTTTGCCTTTTCCCTTGAGATCCACAACACCGGCATTCAGCTTCGTGCATAGTTCTTTCAGTTTTAAAAGATCATCTGTTACTCCAACTTCGGCAGCTCCAGGATCGGAAGGAAAGTACCTATCTTTAAAGCTTCGAGCATAAGCACTAACAGCTGCACGTAAACCAGAAGTACCAGAGGCCATCTCTACTGAAGTTGGAGGTGAACCCATATTTCCCATAGAAGAAACTTTTGATTCTTCCACAGAATTGGGATCAGGGGTTGAACCTCCACTACGACGCCGATAACGTCGAGAACGCAAAGATGTTCCATGCAAAATTTCACTTTCTTTCTCGGCAGAAGATGCTTGAGCAGGAGCAGGACTAGAAGAGCTAGAGGATATAAGGACATCTACAGCATGAACAACGCCTTCCCTCACAAACATCTTAGAGAAAGTATCCGGAAGCTTTTCCATGAGAATTTCCGCAATCTGAAGGGTAGGAACCAACACTTGTGGGTCTTTCCAAGCTAGAACTCCAGCTAGGAAACTGCAGAAATTAACAACCAATGTGATCAGAAGTCCTGCTTCTATATCATTCAAGGAACCAAAAAATCCTTTACTGAATTAAGTTTATCCGAGGGTCATCACCTTGATATGTTAGTTTCCCCAAGTAAAGATTGAATCATATTCGGGGTGCTAAAATACATCAACTTGCTGATAACAGAGAGACATTTGTGGCGAACTTGCCCATTGACACTGGACCCATAGATCTGCTTTGACAAACCAAACATAAAGAAACAGCTAAGATGAAATTTTTAGAGGAAAAAAAAGTAGAAAGAAATGACAAAGATCATCAAAGCAATGCACATCAAAAAATTTATTTAAGTACTAACCTGTACAAGAATAGGGAGGAGATCCATCCCAAACTGCTGAAGAAGCTCTGGTTGGTCACGCAATAACATTTCCCGGGAAGAAACCTCAGAAACAGCTCCATTAGCATCTTCTTGCTTTCCAGAACTGCTTGAGCGTTTTCCAACTGATCCTCTTCCAGGGGTATTAGAGCAGGTTGGGAGGGAAATTGTACCTTGTGGGAGTGGAGGAAGAAGCTCATTTGCAAGATTCACAATCTCAAGAATCTAGTCATGGAACAAAATATAAGAGATAAGTCAATCACAAATTCTTCTAATTGGATTGGTTTGGAAAACAAGCACACGCATACATGCATGTGCATATGCTTGCCTCAATTACAAGGTGGAGATCAGTATCTAGCATGCAAGAGAAATATTCTAGAAACAACATTTTAGCCCAATCACATTACTATCACTGACATGATTTATCAAAAAACATACACGCATGTGCATATGCTTGCCTCAATTACATGGTGAAGATCAGAATCTAGCATCCAAGAGAAATATTCTAGAAACAATATTTTAGCCCAATCACACTACTATCATTGACATGATTTATCAAAAAAAATAATTGCCAATAATAACATGCAGTTGGCACACAAGTAAATTCTCATGCAAAAGCTGCCAAGCAACTACTGATTAAAAAACAAAAATAACTAACAGCAATTTAAGAGGTCTCTCGACAAGATAAGGCAAAAAAGAAGACATCGACAATGCGAAACAGCAACAATACACCAAGAGTGATTAAAATGTAACTCCAATTCTTTCAACTCTCCTAGTAATGACCAGGCACCACCAGACATCAGCACTAACAAAGGATTCCTTTTCATCAAAAGATGCTTAAGCTCCACACATAACACAGAATCAGGATACCTCTACCAGCAATCTTAAAGATGGTATGATCTCTAAACCCAAAACTAAAGCTTAGAAATTCTTACAAACTAATGGCCAGTTTGGATGTCAAATAAACAGACATTCACATGGAAAACAATTGGACCCTTTTCAACCCTGAATTGAAAAATATTGTCATTTTATTTCATTATGCTCGTAGATTGTTTGGATGTCTGTGAAAATATTGAAGTAGACTTGCTAGATGTTCTGCTTTATAATGAACTTTGACTTGGTAGATTTCTTTCTTGTTTATCATTAAAAAAAAATTACAATTTGTGCTATGGAACTCAACTCAAATCATATAGCATCACTATGAAATTCATCTCAAATCATATTGTCAATAATCCAACTTTTCCAAACTAGGGGTCTTTGGAGGCTTTTCTGTAGGATTTTGAGGAGTTTCTGCTTCCATGGCTGGCTCCTTTGTTGATTGCAAGCCATTGATGGCATACAGGAAAAATTTGGATTTGAGGAACTGGATCAAGCTTGGGGTTTTGGACACATTTTGAGCAGGGTGGATTGGGGGTTAGGGAGGGCGAGAGAGAGATGGGTGTACCCATGCCAAGAGGTGGAGCTACGTGAGATGATACTTTTGAGAGTTGCAAAGAGGAAGGTTGGGACACGTCAGAAGAGGAGGGAGGAAGTGGGACATGTGGGAAAAGGCCCTGTCCTTTTTAAGCAAAATATCTTACCGTTCAGAAAAGTTCAACTTAAAGTTGATTTTTTTTTTAATGAGATTTTTAGGCTTGAAGAGGAAGTTTTTCCAATGTGGAAGAAAAATACACTGGGACAACCAAACTGCCAAACCATATAGAATGGGAGTGTTTCTTTCTTCTAAGTTAAAAAAATAATAATAATAAAATAAAATAAAAATCTCAAATCAGAACACATCCAAACTAGCACTAAGAAAGTAAATTGTGTCCCCGTAAATTTCTCAGCAGGCTTTCAACCGCCACTGGAAGATGAAACATCCAAATTATGAAAAACCATATAGGTTTGTAAATAATGAAGAGATCTTCAATTTCAAATTTGGACCACCCCGCATGAACATTCTCTCCCAGACGGAGAAAACTCATCCTCAAGCTTTAGCAAGAGCTTCAATCGCTCCTACTTTATATCCACTCTCCAATCGTTTTCTTTGGTACTCCTCAAGTTGGATGTCCCTCATTCGACAAGCATATTAACTCTTAGCGTATTAACTCTTTTAAGAACACATCAGGAAAAGGATGAAAATATTTCAACAGAGGAATCAAGAGGAATACATCCACTTCATTTTGTTTTCCAATATTAATGTTTATGCACATATGCCATGTGCCGCCTTTCTTAGGAGTAAGAAGTACACATACTGCATACATGCCCATGCTCTCACAAATAAATCCATGGGCCAGCAACTTGTCAACTTGCCAACAAAGCTCAGCATGCCATATGGGACTCATGCAGCAAGTTGAACATCTCTCATGGATGGCAACTTGTTAGGGAGCTCATCTAGGATAAAACTTGAGAATCTCAGAGAATATTTTGGACCTATGAGGATATTCGTTTAGCCGGTTGCCGGTTGGCTTGACTTCTCTTTCAACAAAAGCTTCACTTGCTTAGTGTACTTGACTTGCTTCCAGGAAAGATCTGGCTTGGCTCTGTCTATCCCAAAGGTTTCAAAATAATGTTTTTATCCTTGACAGAGAAGGTGTCAGCCCCATGATCATGCTTCACTATATTATCCAAAGAACACGGTTATCCCAATATGATATGACTATCAGTCTAGGGAATGACATCGCACCAAATCTAATCTCATCTTGGAACCACTCATCCAGAGTGCTATAAGACATTGGGTGGTAACATGAAAGGTGGTATCCTTTTCTCCAAGACAACCTTACATGGTTATGGATGCCTTTCTATCTTAAAATTTAACTTGTCAACCAGCTCTAGAAGACGAAGTTGGTAATGCTTCCCCCATCATTCAGGAGGTGGTTATCTTTTGTTCACACTTGACTCATGTCCGAAAGACATTAGTTTTTCGGCAATCCCCAGGATCATTTTTCTGACGAGAGGATTGGACTGCAAGGACTTTACCTCTCACATGCTCAATGATTCTTTTTTCTCGTAAGTGATTATCATTCGCTATGGATGCATCTTATACCAAGTTTAATGCCCTGACTGGAAAAAATAAAAAGCAACATGACCCAGCTACAAGTAAAGCAATTGAAGGGATTGTTGCCTTTGGTAGCGTTGTCACTTACAATGCCTCTTCCTTCAGTATCATGTCCCTCAGAAGCGCTAGGAGATTTTTGCTTAAATATGGGTAGGGATGGGGCTTGATGCTGAACAATTGGAGCTTGGCTCTTATATGAGTGTGACACCTTAAGTGGGCGCATAGAAAGAAAAGGTTTATGTACAATTGGGAATTCTAATTAGGTTAGGGTTAGGAATTTTAAAGGGTTTAAGGTTCCTACAAAGATTAGGACAGCAGGATTTTGGGCCTTAAAAAGTTCTATTAGTTAGGGTAGAATTAGAAAATAGGTCTACATGAAATCAAACTGGGGTTACAGTGAAGGTTTATTATGGCTTTAAGGTTCTCAAAGGGATTAAAGATTGCTGAAATTTCTTAGTTCGGTGTGGATTGAAGGTGGTAAGAAGGGCAAGTTGAATTAGAGAAAACCTAGGGTTCCAGTTCGTAGGGGTAATCGGGATGGATATGTAGGGGAGTTGTCTAGCCTACTAGGTTTCAAGAAGGGTGGATTCACACACAAACACATTTATAGTCTCACCTTTATTTATCAGGATTTCCAAACTTGATGGTGATCCCACGCACCCAGAGTGGGATCTTGGGTGGATGTCACTCACATATGTGGGTAACAAGACCCCTATCCCTAGGGATTAGCCAATATAATTCACATCTTATAAGGAAACAACTCTTCGAATGCATATCAATCAAAGATAATAATAATTATGGTGTAAAAATCATCTTCTATATATTCTCCAAAGGGAAAAGAGATGCTTTAATCCATATTATTAGAAAAAGGAAAGTCTTTGATGCATGCCACCCAAAAAAAAGGGAAGAAATATTGATGAAAGTCCTTGTACAATATATTTTTTAAGGGGAAAAAGATGCTTTTATCCAGATTAATTAAAAAACAAAACGATAGTCCTAAATGCAATTGTTCCATAATTGCATTAAAGGAGGGATGGTGGGTCCAATTATCTCACTCGATATTATGATCTATGTTATAGTTTTGGTTTTCATAAATAATGAACATATAGGGGAAGAAAGGGCAGAACCTATTTCTGCCAAAATCCACTAATATCTTTGATCTTTCATTATTTTATTTTTTTTGAAAATGTTATCTTTTATTAAATTTTAGAATATAATAATCAAATAAATAACTATGGTGTACAGCTATGCAGGACTTTACATGATAAGACCTGACTACTATAAATACTTGTAAGTAGAATAAACCTATACCTAACATGTCCATTGAGAATCTAACTATAATTAATAAAAAAATGTTCATATTTTAATTTTTAAATATCATATTTTTTATATTTATTGTAAGGGCACTCCTATACTCTCCCAAACTATGGAGCTTCTTCCAGCCGACAAACCCTTGCTCCCACGCCTACTCCCACTTCCAAGTTCCAACAACTATGCCATCACCCACCCACCCACCCCAATCCCTTACTTAACTAATGTGGGACTAAAAGTTTTAGTTTAAAACCTTATCTACTTATACAATCTAAAACCCAATATTCTTTTCTCTTACGTTAGATCTCTCTCTCTCTCACACACAGAGGACAGTCTCTCTTTTTTTCATAGGACAATCTCTCACTCTCTCCCCCTCACTCTCTGATTCATGACAAACACACTCAAACCTTGCATCATTTTCATACATAATAAACTACTACTAGCCCTCACATAGTAGATTGTCACCTTCAAACCTAGAAATTTGTATCTCAAATAATAGCAAGCTCACTTGATAATACTTAAGTTATTAAAAAAAAAAAAAATAGGAGCCCTATTGTTTAGATGTCTCTCTCCCTTGGCATTTTATCGGCCTCTATGAGGAGAACTCTCTGATAATATGCTACTTTCTCTCCCTCTCCTTGAACATTTTGTTTTCCCCTTCAATAGTTATCATATCATATGGTTAGCTAGATTATTCATTCATTATAATGAATAAATGGCCCAAAGAGGGCGAGTATATAATATACAAGATGAGAGAGAGAGAGTAGA